GCATTTTCTTTTGTTTCTTTTGGAATGATTATCCATCATCCTTGTTCGAATGACAAAGATGTATCTTGCAATATTTAGAAAAATTACTCCAAAATAATTTTGTCGTCAAAGATAAGATTAATTTCTAGTAATATTAGTTTGTAGTTATTACAATTATACTTAAAATTATTGAATACTTTTTAATTGATAGAATGAGAATTCGAATTTAACACTATTATAATAACAATATATATGCTTAAATGTATAACATATCATTGAACCAATTGTTCAAATACAAGTTTTTCACGTACCTTTGTACTTGAAACAGTGTGAAAATGCGGTAGTCGTCATCTACACAACAAATTAACCTCTCTAAGAACGCACCATATTGCAATGTCATACTAGGGACGACAATCCTCGGATTCTACAGTATATATTTTATTTTGCAGGTATATGTACGTCGCAAACAATTCCAGGATAAAGCACGTAGTTTTTTTCTTTTTTTTTTTCATGCACGAAGCACTTTTCTATCGCAATGTTATACAGGAAGGACCACCTTATTTGGACTGTAGAAATCTGTTACTGATAAGCTCTGAAAACTCCATCCATATATGGTTTTTTTTTTCTTTTTTTCCTTTGTGTGTGTGATTAATAAAATTGAAAAGATGGGGGGGTGAAAAGGCATTTTGTAAGCTTCATCCCTTGAATTGAGCCATCAGGCGGCTGAGTGCGTGATGAGCTCTTACAGCAAATTGAATAGTTTCAACTTGACATTAGATTGAATTGATCATGCGAGTTAATTTTACCGACATTTTATCGTTTTCGTTTTTATATTTTGTTACATCTTTGATGTAGAAAGTTCTTTTGGGACCATTTTGTAATGCATTTTGAGAAACTTAAATAACAATTTTTCCAACTAATCATTCATGCCTAAAGCCTAAGTAGTTAATATAAAGAAAGAATTGTTCCTGTTTTGGCTAATTTGATGATTGCATTCAAATTAATTTAAGAAGGCTGAATCCCTACATCTCTTTCTTCTTCTTTTTTTTTTGTATATACTCCTCAAGTTTCTAATGCAGCATGTATGAGATCGGTTAGTATTAATTTTCTACTTAGATGTGTGTGTATACATATATATATATATATATATATATATATAAGGTCAACCGATAATAATACGAGGTTAAGCTAATCCCTACACCACAAATTCTACTTTCTTTTACGGAAAAGAATCATTATAGATTGAACATAAAACCTCAATCCCACCAACCACCTCAAGAAATCCCATCAATGACCCAAAGGATTAACAAGATCTTTAAGGAGATTGAGCTCGCAATCGTCAACTAGGGTTTTGACTATAAGGGGAGCCAGAATTAGGGTTTTGACTTTAGCATTAAGCACCTGCTTGATTGAACAAAGGTAAAGTGTATTAAGTGCTTGACAGTAGGGACACGGAAGGTGAAGTGCTTATATATGTTGTCAACAAAGACATGGCTGGTTAGTGTGACTGATTTGAGGAAGATTTTCCATGGACACAAAGTTGACTCTACAGCAGTGCTACTACATTTAACCAATTCAGGATAATTATGGCCAAAAAGAACCAAATGCTTATGCTTTGATCCTTTGTTCCATTGACGAGACAAGATAAAAAGAGGAAAGAAATGAATGTTATATAAAAATTAATGTCAGGTAACAGAGAAACATGGTGACCATGACCTCGTAATCCAACGCCTGTTGGAATGTGAAACAACACTTAGTTTTCCTTCCACTGCAAGTATAGATGGTGTGACTGCCATTCAAGTAACTATACCATTACTATTTAACACTATTTATGTTTATGAGTTTTGTTAACGAATACTTTTAGAGACACATGCAGTTAAATTATTATTTTGTTGTTGTTGTTGTTGTTATTGTTATTATTATTATATATTTCATTCAAATGTATTAAAAATTATTATATTAACTTTCAAGTACTGCATTTAATGCAAAATATATTCATAAATACAATTTTAATGAGTAGCTTACGATATTGCTTTTAAGGGTGAAAAAATGGGCATGCAAATAAGCTGCTCCACATACCCACCATGAAGCATTGCCCGATCTCACCCATGTTACAGCCCCTTTGGCTACAAACAGAGAAGAGTAGGTTTAATTTAACCCCAACAAGTATACAAGGTACAATTCCATACGGCTACTCATCACTAGATCAAACACTTGAATAGATCAAGCCCTCTTGATTACTCAATAGAAGAATAGGTCTAATTAAACCCAATCCAGTGGTTCTGACCCTATTCACCCCAAAGTAAACACGAGTTCTTATACTGAACCAAACGCGTAAATGATAATCTTAATTAAATAGGATCATCCAATACATGTGTCTGTCTGTGTATTTGTGATTAGTCTATATCCAGTTTCAAGCAAAATATATAATTCAAAGTTTCCATAATTATCCGATACATATATGGTCAAGCAAAATGCATCAAAATACGGCTAATTCCACATGTCATGGACCCCTCTCCAATATGGTAGAGTTTGTCCCATATTCAGAATTGGAACAGGGGATTTAGTACTGGTATTGATTTGTTTTGATATGTATGAAAAGAGTTGGTGGGGGAGAATGACTGTATTTCGTCAACAATAAGGCATAAATAAAAAGATTTTAGCAAAAGGTGTTGTTAACTATCTCTAATCAATATGATCATATTGGTATAATTCACGATTAATTGGAGGAAAAATTCTTAAAACAATTATCCTAAGGAATGCCCATTAATTGATATTAGCCCCTAGGAAGCAAAACCCAATAAGCTTTTGCTTTTGTCTGCAAGCCCGTACAGGAAAGATGGATGACATCTCAATTCTATTGTCCCTTCATCTTCTTTTATAACAGACAAACAAATAGCTAGGGTTAGGTCGTGCTATCCACTATTTACAGATTCCAGACCAGGAAACTAGGATGTTGCTCGATTTCCGAAATGGGTCGCAAGTGAAGTGATGCTACTATCTAATATTCCATGTACAACAAGATGGAAATCCCGACCAAAAGTTGCATGAAAACAGTGGAGAAAATACCAAAGCAAGCAACTAAGAAGCCAAAGTTATAGGGTTTACTTTTTAGAATTTACCCATAATTAGAATTGAGTGAAATGCTGATAAAAGAATCACCGGCACAGTTACACTAACCACGCACTTAATTTTGACTATGATGACGTGCAATCCAACACAACTACACAAATTCAGAGATGGAAGAAAATCTAGAACAAAAGCTCTGCTCTATTCTAGGCAACAAGACAAATTTAATGGCATGTGTGTGAGTTGGGAGGGGGGGGCACTTACTGATTTTTCTAGTGCACTTTAATGGTGATGCTTCCTGTAGCAATCCAAAACCCTTGCATATCTAAATTGAAATGACAAGTTATATATATATATATATATATATATATATGTGTGTGTGCGCGCGCGCGCATGCATGTGCGTGTGTGCACGTGTATGTGTACAAAAAAATGCTATAAAAATCAATTTTTTATGCAGAATCATCTTAAAACCAAACAAATTAAATCGTTGAAGCGGCACTCTAACGATAGAATTTGAGACTTTACCTTAAGAGGTCTCGAATTCAAATGAAGAATGAGCCTCCACATGTACCCATAAAGAAGCCAACAAATAGCAATGCGATTCGTTAACAAATTTGTCACTGTATAGCCCATGAATGATTTCTTGTTTTTGAGGCTAGTGAGATATGCCTAGGGTTTACATGAGATCTAGATTTGGGATGAAACGACAAGGAAAATTTGTCATCAAGAATCTACCACAAACTGCTCATGCAAGTTGCAAAGTGGAAGGAGCACTTTCCTACTTGAGGATGAGACATGACAATTAATCTACAAGGAAACCCTCCCTGTTTTCATCGTGGGTTTTAGGTGCAACTCCGCTTATCCATTTTCGTGTTGCATTAAAATGGACTAGGCTAATACATGTAATGATCATTGTACTTCCCTGTACCAAATGGAAGCCAACAAAATTCAAGGTCAACCCCATGCTTTTTCCAAGTGCCACTTCTTGCTTTCTCACGTTTCATAAGAACAGCTAGTCACAGGGTTTACCATTCATTTTTGATACTGTGATCATTACCATTATTGTTCAGTCCCAGCACATGAAACATGAATAGGATCACTATTTTATCCATCTTGAATGATTTCAAAAGAAGAAATATAATCCCACTGAAATATTCATCCTCCATAGCCTCAAAAATGAGCCAATCACCGAGGCAGTTGATCAATCTAAGCCTTGTATTACATTAACATTGCTCGATTAGATTGGGCAGTTCAATTAAAAGGTTGTATATTGATTATGGATAATTTCTTTGGATAGGACATGGTATTCCAATGTGTTAAATTTCAAGCCACAAATCCCCCATTTATTTCGAACTTATTTGATAGAAACCATTAGATCCAATCTTTACTCCCAAGTTCCTCTATCCTTACCAGCCTGACAATTAAAATAAGCCCAATCTTTAAGGTTTGGTCATTGCAGCTTATCTCAGTGGGATGCATATTTTAATATCGACACCAAAAGATGGTAAGGGCAAAAAAATGAAACCCTCTATCATTGCAAGATCATCTTCTCTGAGGAATTATATAATCAAAAGAAGACATCTTTTCAGGATTATTGGGTATAGAAAGCTCAGAACAAAAAAACATCCACCTATCTTACATATTTTTAGTTGAATTTTCCATAATTACGTCATTTGATTCCTAATCAAAAGTTACTAATCTTAAGGTACTAAGAGGTTTAATAACCAACCTGAGTCCATGTGACAGTATCGATGGTGACCCAGCTCCTTCAATGAGGAAGCAAGACTCTCTCCCATGCAGACCTAGGCCTAGCTCTAGCTCACCACTCAAACTTGAGAGAGCTTTCCTGCTTCTGCTTCCACACCAATCCGCACCACTCAATTAACGCTGTCATAGGAACATATACATCACGAAATTAGCAACGATAAAGAGTAAGTGGCCACAAGGAAATTACAAAAAGGAATCAAATACATCCCAAAATACCATCATTTACAAAAGATTAACAGCATATCTCTTTTCCTAAGTTGGTTCACCAATTCAGATGTCAAACAATCATCATTTAATTTGTCTATACAAGAGTCCAGATACAGCAAAAAAGGATCTAAGCTTACAACTTGAGGAATAGCAAAAAATTGTCCTTCACATAAAAATTAAATGCATACAGTAATGAGACAGCTTATGTAATCTCTAATTTGTAGGTAATTATGGCAATAAGAACTCTAAAAGCAAAATATAGTACAAAATGCCCTTATTGAAGTTAATACTGGTAGGCGCCTTGCTGTGCACTGTAATGGTGGTAAGCACTCTGTGGAGCGTTAATGGTGGCATAGGCCACTTGCTGAGAAGTAACTGAATAGGGGCTTCGCTGCACACTCAGATTTTGATAAGGGCTGCTTTGATGAGGGTGCCTGTTTTGATAAGGGCTCTGTTGAGCATTCATGTTTGGGTAGGGGCTATGCTGTGCATTCATGTTCAGATAGGAACTTTGCTGAACATTCAAATTTTGATAGGAACTCTGTTGGGCATTCATGCTTTGTCCAGAAAAAGGCATGAACGAGTGAAAAATGCTTTGAGCAGCGGTTAGATGCTCAGAAGATCCACGGAACTCTTCAGAGCCACCAGTCTGAGGATCTTCAAGCCTTAATCTTGCCCCTGAAACCTGCGCTTGATAATAAAAACAAGTTAGCATCTACATTCCATTGTGCTTAACCTATAAGGATATCCTCCAGCAATATGTAACATACTACTTCATGCAAATTTTTTCATTCAATAACAACTAATCTCTCACAACATCCAAGTCTAGATATAGTATGTAATCGATATTTGAAAAACTTGATAATAAATAATATGTGGGATGCCAGACTTTCCACAACAAGAAATCAAGGGTTTTCCGTGCGTTCCTTTCCTCAAACATTTAAAGAGGTACCATTGTAAAACAACATTTTGCCACCATCCTTACTTAAAAACAAACACCACCAATCAAAAAGCCATACTAGAATCCTTGTAAGATCTTACTTTATTTTGCTCATTTTTTTCAGGTGAAACCTTCAAACTATATAAGATTCCAGGTTATGGTCAACCAAAGACCATTCAAGATCAAATACCTCACTATTCAAGATGGTGCTTCCTCCAGTGCCTGTTACAGAACTTGAAACATTGTTTAGAATTTTAGCCTCTAGCGCACCGTTCATATTCGAGTATCTGCAAAAAAAGAATGCAACAAATTGAATACCATAAGTTAAACATGAAATTTACACCAAGAAAGTTTAAATTACACCAGTACCTAGCAGCAGCTGGAGGAACAGAATAATTATTCTGAGGTTCATACTCACGTCCACCACCGCCCTTCAAAATAGCATAAAAATATTTTTAGCTGTTTAACCAAATCATAAGACATCTTGAAACTTCAAAAGCTTGAAATATACATCCAGGAAAAACTATTCTCTTGATAAAACTACATTCTCAACAAAATACTAATAGAAAACAGTCTTTTCATGCACTTGTGACTTTTAAATACAAATCTGACCTGTAACAGATTATTAACTAGACACTACTCATTGGAAAGCTCAATCCCAAGAAATATTAGAAATCAATTTGAATAAAGGAAACTATAAAGCCCATGAAAGGGTATCATTACATATAAACTGGAGAGTAAGTTCAAACTAACAATAAGAAGCAAAATCACACCAGGGGTAGATCTTCATCAAGGACAAAAAGGGGCATAGCCCTCACAAAAGTATTTAATATATATATATTTATATATTATATCTTTGTTGCTTTAAATGTTTGAATTTGCTATATCTGTAGAAAAAAAAAACTCATATCATAAATTTGCAGCATAAATTAGAAGTTATATTAAAAGTGTATAGTATATGTTGAGAATTTATTACTAAAATCAGACAAATGAATCTATAAATTCTAGGTGCGTTATTTTTTTTCATGCGTTTGGAAATTGTAACTTTAACTTTCAGGATTCGAAAAATAATCTATAGAATAGCAGAAAAGAGAAGACTATTTTTCTGAAGAAAAATCTCCATAAAGTAATAGGAAATCTTTTGATTTTAGGACCGAACCTTTTAATTTTGAAGAGTATCCTTCTAAACATATGAGGCTTGAATGTCACAACTCTGTTAAGATTTTTAAATTCTACTTTCTTTGGTATCAATAGAGTTCCATGTGTAAATATAAAGTTATGTCAGTTATATATATAGCTTTAAATTGATACCCCCAAATAAATGTCTGGATCCTCCACTGAATCAAATTTAACCATCAAATTCATGACTTAAAATTTACTTTCAAAGCTCAATTTGATTTTCAGAGAAAACTTGCAAGGGAAAACTGAGAGCCTTTCAAGATGTTAAAAAAAAAATTCAATCAAACCAATTGAATGTCATGCTCAGACTCCAAAAGTAACTAGATTTTCATACTCATTTCCTGAAACAAGTTGGTTGGCTTTGTTGCTGCAAAGCAACAACTGCTGCGTTATTTGCAATGTCAGTGACCAGAAGCAAGGCCTGCAATCACCTACAGTGCCTGCCATTGTTACATCACTTCGACCATCACATTGATTACTGTTTTCCACCATGCACTATTAGCAATCATAACAATTGCCATCCATTATGGCGCCACCATTGACTAGTAAACCACGCACCATGACTGCTAATTCCTGCTCCCCCTTCAGCTCTTCCTCCCCAACACCAAAGACCCCCCACCCCACACAAGAAAAGCTAAAAAAAATTTATAAAAATAATATTAAAAAACATAAATTTTAAAACAACTTTCACTAATTAAAAGTTAGTAAAGTTTAAAAAAAAATTATCAAACCACCATTCTCCCTTTCCTTTCTAAAAGAGTACCTTCCAAAGAAATTATTGAAATATAAATCATTATGTGATTTCATTTTACTGGAAATTTAAGAACGTTTGTATTCTAAATAACAATTTACAAATATAACCTTTCTAACCTAAATATATATATGAGGCAGAGATAGCAAGAATTTATATATGCATTACAGCCCATTTATAATTTATCAACAAATACAATCACAAAATCCAGAATATCTGATACAGTAAACAAAAAACCTTATCTGAACTTAATTAGAGTTTAGTTATAAGCAGTTACAACTACATTTGTTATAAACACTAAAACCTAAATATGGTAAAAGCTAACCTGAACCAGATGACACAAGTGACTCACCCAAAATCCGAACCAAATTGATTTTATACAGTCAATAACCTAAACTACATGAATTGAAATAACTTAAGACCTAAAATCACCTGAATTGCAATCAACCCGAAACTAAAACTTAGATTGAGCTTTTATTATTTTCTCATTTAAAAATTTCAATTTGATTAAAAAATAATATAATATAATTTATTATCAGATATGACTAGAGCTCAGCTCAACTTGAATTTATTAAAAAGGCAACGACCCAATCTTGAGTGGCTTGAAATTCGAAATGATCCAAATATAAAATGACCTAAACCCAAAAGGGCCCAAACCCACAATGACCCGAATATTAATTGACTCAAAATGACCCAACCCAATCCAGTCTCAACCCTTATATTTGCCAAAAAGTTAACTGCACAATTATGGTTTGAACTTTAGAATGGATAAACATTAAAGAAGCTAAAGCAAAACAAAAAGACATAAACTAGATAAAGAAATATACCCTGGAAGATTCATATCCACCAGAACGGCCAGGTCCTATCGCAGCTGCTGGTGGCAGACCATCTGCCATGCTTCTTGCGGGGCCAAATCCATGGACAGGCCCAACAGGAGAGGGTTCAGCTCCAGCATTCACATCTCGCAAAGTTCTTACTCTAAGTCTTGATGCAATCTCAGCCAAAGCATCCTTAGCAATGCCAAAATTGCCAGATATCTGAATGGCAAAAATGAACTAATTTACATAAAATGCAAAGCTGAAATATTGAAAATATTAGGCCTTCAGGATATCAATAAAAGAAACAAATAAAATAAATGCTATTAGTCATAAATTTATTTTTAACAAGATTACCTGTACTAGCTCTTCATCCTCAGATGCACACTTAGGCTTATCATCCTTCGAGTAAACGCGAATATCCGCTTGGGTTCTCCTCCTCATCTCATTGATTACATGACCTCCTTGCCCAAGAATGCAGCCAACCTTACTTGATGGAACAAGCAACCTAGTGGTAACCGTACCTTTCTCAGAGAATTCACTAGTTTTATTTTGAAGCTGTAGAATGGCATCAATTGTCTGTGATCGAGGGTTCCAAAGACCCTAGAATAATACATGCACTACCATAAGCACTTCTTACGTATAAAAGAAGTATAAAGTTTCCGGCAGCAGAAAGAGTTGCTAGTCAAAAGGCTTTAATAGTTAAAATATTTTCTTTCTCAAACAAATGAAGCTATAGTCAAAATAGAAAAGACCTCAATTGCAGAAACGCGAATCACACGCTCATCTGACTCTATTGTTGCATCCTCAACATGAATGCCTGCTCCTGTTTCCTGCTGTAACTGTTTAACATTAAAGCCTCCCTTACCAATTACACCACCAATCTTCCCAGCTGGGCACAAAATTTTCATCGAAAACTCAGCTGAAGCCTCAGCACCACGCGCTGGAGGAAAACTGCTTGAGCTACCAGGCCCAAATCCAGATGGCCGGTTTCCATGAGCGCCCATCCATGGCATTGGTGGAATATCATGAGGAGAAGAATTCCGATGAGACCACAATGGATTGCTGGGTGGAATAGCACTAGAAGGAGGAAAATTCTGGCCAGCATGAGGCCCAGGGAAGCTCAATGGAGGATTGTCTTTTCTTGGGTTCTGATGCAAGAGAGTGGAAACTTCATAGAGAGCCCTCTTTGCAACATCTCGCTTTCCAGATATCTGCAGTAAATTCCAAAAGCTACAGTTTGTAGGAAATTGCAATAAAATACAAAATTGTAAGAAACGACCTTCTCAAAAGAAGTATTTCAGAGGTCAACCATGAATGGTGAAGGAAAATTTTTAATCAAGCAACACCTAGGGGCTTCATGCCCAGGAACTAGGAAAATATACAAGAAATGAGAAATAAATAAGTTAGTTAAAACAAAGGACAGCAATTTCGAAACATCATAGCACTAAAAAGCGATGATAAGAGAAAGAGATGCAGACAACCGCTTCAACTATTTGACAGTCAGATAAACTACATCCAAAGCCTTCCTAGTAAACAAAACTCAATGATACATAAGGATGGCCTCCAAATTTTAGCATGATGATCAAGCTAAACATAAATAGCATAGGCAGAACAAGTAAAGAAGATGAGGAACAAAATAAAATATCCTTCAAAATGTTGCTACTTCCTCTAGCATGTCAGCCACATGGTTACTTCCCTAGCCAATATGACAAGGTAAAAAGCAACATCACTCCACCCACCTCTCATGCATGTCCAGGCTCATCCTTCGCTTTTCACCCAGTTAACCAAAGGCATGCAAGCTTCATGTTCACTATAATTTGGCATAGATGGAATAAATCTTTGAAACTCAAATTTGAACCCAGAAAATTCTTCCTCAATAAACACAATATATTGCTCATACAGATCCATTTCACCCTGTAGATACAATAGCGTGACACATCTTTGAAGACAAGCAATGGCCAGCAATCTAGCCAGCTGCTTGGAAAGCAAGCCTAGTCATGGACAGCCTGAATGAACAAGTAAACCTGCACCCCCACTATACGGATTCACAAGGATGAATTCAAGTAAGAAATCCATTGAGTTTAGAAACATTATAGAGCAAAAAGATGTCAAAGCGAAAGATCTCCCCACCCAACAAATGTTACCATCTCGTCTAGCATATGAGGAAAATTTATTATGTTTAGTTTGATAATATCATATCATCACATCATGTACAAATAGTCCAAAATAGGTATCACGACTTAAGTTAATCCAACACTATAACTAAGACCGTTGTCATAGTCAACCAATAATCCTTTTAAATTCAATTATATCTACATTAACATATACATAAATGCTTGAAATCCTACGCAACGTAATTGGTCCCCAGACATCTGGGGCAGAAGCTGCCAATAGAGTAAGAAAGTTATAATTTGAAGACACATTTCCATTATCCTCTATTATCTCCGATGATTCTACAGAACAAGCTTCAACATACAGAAGCAAGAAGCATTTATAGTCAGGATTTCTTGCCATCAGCAATTTCTGCTAGCAGCAGAAAGGACACTAAGGACACTGAAACCACTAATCAAGATATTATCAGATTCTAGCCATTCAAGCCTTCTTTCCAAACCATAAAATCTTAAAATTAACAAATTGGCTTTAACCACAAATCAAAGAGGTCTATGCTGGGGCTGTGATAAGTCCAAGCTCCACTTTACTGGCAGAAGTGTAAGGAAGGAAATTATTTTATATATTTTTTAATAAAAAAAAGGCAAACTCAATATATGAAGCAGCATCAAAATTTACCAAGCCAAAGAGCCCACAAATTATCATTATTTGAAAAAACAAAAACAAGAAAGGGAGCTTTATCTGAGCTCCAAACGGAGTTAATAATTCAGTTTTTACATGACTTGCTCCAGCAAGGCCCAAGCCCTAACCTAAATAAGTAGAAGCCACTCCCATTACCATGACCCAAACCACCAGCAAGTAAAATTCAGTTGCCCACCAGGAGAGAGAGACATGTGGCTTGGTGGAACAGAAAGGTCTACAGGTCTTATGACCATATATGCAGCTAATTACTCAAGTATTTCTGGTCAAATGATACAAAAGGCTATCAAACCATCAGTTTTCATGTTCAGGCAACTAGGTTATAGCAAGTAGGATATGACTGCAATGTCACAACCCTTGAGCAATGAGCTCTGATGCCAAAAGGCCCATAATGTAGTAACAGATGTAAACCTCCCTATCATAATGGTAAAGGCAGCAATAGGCCTCCCACTTTGTAAACCATAAGGTTAATCAAGTGATAAGCCATTTCCTCAAACAAAAGCCCAATCCCATATGCATTTGACTCATATAGAATATATAGGTCGTTTATATCAGCACATGAATGAGATGTAACACACCAACATGCCAACTTCTCTAACCCATACTATAATGCATACATTTAGATAACTCTGTATCCCTATTTACAACCCTCTGGAGAACTTTCTTCTCAAATATCATCCTCAAAATCTCAACCACATTTTCAGAGTATTTAAACATTATAGGCCATCCTCTCTTCATGAAATGGTGATGGGCCAAAAATTGGATGCTAAAGGCCTAAACTGTTTGAAGATAGCACTTCATTCAACTCCAACTTAGAGGTTAAAACATCAATTTCAGAGCATTGAAGCAAGCAAGATATAGTTAGTAATAATGGTAGGAGGAAAGAACAAAACTTTAACTTCAAAACTAGGGCATCAATCAGTATTTGCAAAACATTGAAGCAGTCACAGGCTCTCTTTATGAACCTTTATTGGAAATGATTGTAAAAAGGTAAGAAACAGGAGGAAATAAATCATATTTACCTTAAATTTATTGAAAGAACTTAATACGATTGAAGATGGCTGCAAGTCTACAACTGCTCCACTCAACTAAACCTTATCCCAATCTAACTAAAATATGCTATATACTCATTTTTCCGCACTCAAAACGTATTCCAAGGAAAATAATGATCAGTAAACCAATCATTGTCAAACAAATAGAAAGAAGCAAGAAAAGGAGATATAATTATATTTAGACTAGCTTTATTTAACAAAGAAAACAAAATATTGTTTGAAGATAACCTGCTTCTTAAGTGTAAGTATTTAATAGAGAGTACCATTTTTTAAAGATGACTTTGAACTAAAGATGCTTCTGAAGATGGACTCGCAGGAAAATTATAATATACCCCATTTGCATACACACAGTCCAAAAATGGAGGATCTTACCAAAATTAAGATAAAGAATTCAAAATTTCATACAATCTAAGAAAAAAATGAAGGGAAATAGAACGAAGAAAATGACAAGGGGCATCCAAGCATAGTTTGGACTCAATCAGCATATAAAGTTCAAATACATTATCAAGAACTCCTATAACACAAAGGAAATTCATTCACGCAGATTGCACACAAAAAGTTGCATACAATTAACATTTTATCATGTTCATGTCTTAGTCAAACACAAACAGTAAACCAAAATATGTACAGCATATAAAGTTAGTAGAAACCTGCACTAATTCATCAGTTGCCATTGCACAAGCAGGAAGGTGATCAGCAGGAAGAACACGAATACTAGCACCTGTCTCACTTCGCAATCTTTGAATCACATCACCTCGTTTCCCTAAAAGACATCCTACCATATTATTTGGAACCAACAGCCGTGCAGTGACAACAGTATTCCCATTATCATCATCCAACGCCATCCCACCAAAAAGATCATCCTCAGCAATTTGATCATGAACTTTTAACAGAGCATCCTGTGCAGCACAGCAAGGCTCCATTACTACCCCTCCTCTTTTTCGTTCTCACCACCTGAATCCTCATCAGAATTCTGTGTTTTCACCTTCATCGGTGAACTATAAATAATAATAACTCTCTCATCACAACCAAGAACTGAATCACCTACCGTGATCTTTGCCTGAGTCTCCTCCCTTAATGCTTTGACTATACTCCCACCCTTCCCAATAACACCACCAATTTTTCTCGAAGGACAAAGTACTCGATAAACAGTGTCTCCAGAATTAAAATTCCCGGAAGACTGTTCATGGCCAGAATTAGTACTCCATTTCGGTTTCCTATTATTATTGAACCCTTTTCTTTTAAAGGGCGTGTTCATCGGTTTCTTAAAAAGGTTCCTCTTCCTCCCATCCATTTTGAGGAACAAATGAGTTAAAACACTAAAATTCCTCCACGGGTTTGCCTAACCAAAATTCCCCAAAGATAATAACTACAATTAAAACAATCCAGCAACAAAATTAAACCCATTGCGGAGCTCAAAACAAGCTACCTGTTGAAGAAGAAGGTTGAAAATTCACGTGTCAGTCGTCAGGGTTCTAAGCTTGAAACGAGAGCTTATATAAAAATCAATAATACAAACATTGTTCTTTTAATGTAAGAATATGAAGATTGTTGATGTAATTTGTTGAATTGAAATTATATTCGGGGGAATTTTATTTTCAGCTGAAATTTAGAAAATTATTCCCAATATGAGATTGAGCAATGAAAAATGAAGAAATAAGGAGGGGGAGGAGGGAGACAAAATTAGGGTTTGGAGGAAAAACAAAAAGTTGAAAAAGCAAGAGAAGTGGCATACCTTGAATGATTTCAATGGAGTGCAGGAGAGTTGAAGGAGAGAAAGGTAGAGTCTTTGCCGCTTGTTGTTGGAGCTCTCTCCATCTGGTTGGAGAGGGAATTTGGGAGTAACAGTGGCTGTTTCTCTGATTCTTTCCCTCCTTTTTTTTTTTTTTTTTTTTAATTTGTTTTCTTGGCAGGCTTTCGCTTGGTTCCTTGTAGGTGGTGGGTAAATCGTCAAGCCCATTTTAAAGCATGGGCCTCGGTTGATTGTTGATGTGTTTGTTTCTCTATGTTTCCCTTCATGCTACCCGAACTGAGCTGGAGAAATGGAATTAAACTTGGAACCTCGCAATGTCTTAACCCATCAATTTTACCTAAACGAGTATCGAGCTTTTGAAGGTCTAAGTGCAGCAAACTTGCTCATGAGTTACGAGTAAAGGACAGTGTCCACTGCAGGTGATAAGGGTGACTGAATCTTGGGTAAATCGTAGACACAGAGAGAGAGGGAGGGGGGAAAACGAGGATAAACAAAGGAAGAGGAACAAGAAAATGAGAAGGCTTATATAACTTCCTCTAAACTACATTTTTTTCAAAGAGAGGTGACAGGAAAAGAGTAAGAAGAAAATGATACATTAATTGCCATATAGTCACATTATTAACTCCAGTCATAAGCCATGAGACCAAAAAAACTTGTTGACACTAGGTTTAAGTTTTTATAAGGATTAAGGGTTTATTTCGAACAAATCAAAATTTAAAAATTCATTTAAATGCAATAAAAGTTGAAAGACTTAATTGAATAAATTATTATAATATATAATTTTTTTTAATATTTAAGCAACTTGAAAGTCTCGTAAAACTTTAAAATTTTCTAACACAATTTAGTATATAGTATAATATATTATTTTATACACTGAAAAATATCGATAGATGTGATTATAAACTAAACTATTTGTCAAGTGTGCGAGATCGACATATCATGAGTCTAATTTTAGACCAGATTTTAAAAATTGAGGCCTAACGCAACTCAACTGGCTAACATAATATATTAATAAATAAAACAACAACCCTTTCCCCCTATAGTTCACCTCCCTATAGATCCAAAAATCCAACAACATAAGCCATCCAAATCTCGCAAGCCAGCAAACAAAACAACACAAAAAACCAAACCAAGTTTCCAAAAAACCAAAAAATGCAACGCAATGATCAAAATGCAAACCACAACCAACCTGCTAAAAGACTTGTAGTATTGTTTTTTGTAGCAATACCTTTTCTTCCGTTAAGGAATCAACTCTTTGATATGCCTCTCTCATAACATGTTGAATCTCTTATCCTTCAGGTTTTTCCTTCAATTTCATAATTTACAGCAAATACTTTCTCATTCTCCAAAAGGCTATCTCTAGATGTTTAATCCATTTCAAAATATTACTCGAATTGCTTTCGATAACAAGTTTGTGCTCTTCTTTCCATTTCAAGGCTAAAAAAACCAATGAAAGCTTCTCTTACTACCATTATCTCAATTAGATTGGAATTTGCCATGCCAATGGACTTGGAAAATACAATTTTAGTTTCACCATTAGCGTTCCTCAGTGTTTTTCCGATCTCAACAAGTCCGGGGTACCCTCTAGCAACTCCATCCACATTGAACTTCATCTACCTTTGCCTAAACTCCTCCCATTTGATCCATTTTCTTCTTTTTCACCATTTTTTGATCTGTTGGTGAGTCCGGAGCTGTCTATACATGTCCAACATCGATAAATAGTCATTAGGCCACTTAGCATTTGCCCAAGAGGCCACTCTAAGCCTTGCCAAATTAAAACACTAATTTGCCTCCCATTTTTTCCCACTAAAGATTGATTTGTTAATGTTTTTCTAGATTGACTAAATTATTGCAAAGTATACCATTCTCCATAACCTTTGTAGAAGGTTCTTTTGATAAAGAGAGAAGCGTGTTGTAATAAGTAAAACGAAATGCACTAGAGATGGCAAAAAGGAATACTATAGTAGTCCTTAAAGCATAAGTGCTTTGATGGCAGGCAGTGAAGAACAAAAAGAAGGTGGAGAAAGTGAGGAAGCACGGTTGATGGAAAAAGCTAAGTAGGGAGAATATTTGGAAGAACTTTGAGAGCAATCTTTACTGAATTTTTGATCTCTTACTTAATTACCAAACTCTCATATTAATATTAAATAAGAGTGCTCTCTTAGGAGTAGTTGGTAAAACGATATCACATTTAAGAGAACACATTTTGTATGAAAGAATATATTTGTTATGGAAAGAGCATGCCCACTATGGGAAAAATAGCTTATTAGATGTTATGAAAAGAGCATGTAATTGGATAGTGTTTTTAAGAGAACACATTATGTATGGAAGAGCATGCTTGTTATGGAAAGAGCACATTCAGTATGGGAAAAATGGATTATGGGAAGAGCATATTAAAGAACAGCTTATTGGATGTTATGGGAGAGCAAGTAATTAGATAATGTGCATAAGTTTTAGGTAGTGGAGTAGTGACACTTAACAATGTGCCGCATGTACTCTTAAAAACGAAAGGATAAAGCACATGTACTTCAAAGAAATGTTTAGAGAAAATCTTTTTAACTATCTTCATATATAAGTCATTAAGTCAGATTTTCTTGAACATCCCAAACATAAAAATAACTCGTGAACGTTGTTACTTGTTCCGAAGTACTTTCGCTTCTCCATGTTACATAATTATTTCACACTTATTCTATAAAACAATACTTTAAAAAATAATAATTAATCAAAATTAGATATTTACAACCTTCTATAACACCATTTCATGCCTCGAAGAAAGCTCTAACGCTCCCTGCTGTTGTCTACACACAGCCCTATGCTTTGCACCATCTTGACCAGATTTTCCATGTCTCGTAACATGCAATAAATAAATGGCAACAAGTTACCCTGTCCACATTAAACAGTTCACACAACAAAATGGTATTATGGAGCATACCTCTTTTAGCCAGCTCATTTTTGACAGCAAACTTGCCATGCATAAGTTGCCGAACAAACATCTCCGCTCTCAACGGAGCCAAATTTATCCACACATACTTTCATATGTTTTCAATATTATCGTTGGGCACGAGAACATACTTACAAAATGACTTTGGGCGTCTATATCCCGCTGCCCTTCCTTTGCCAAACAACGCCATCTTTAATTTCGATCTTTACTTAGTTGGAAGTCTTGGATCGTGTCACACATTATAAAAATATTTTTAATATTTGTAAAAATATAATTAACTTGATCAAGATTTTTAGATGTAGACTGAATCCAACCTGACCTATAAACACCCCAAAAAATAAACAAATATTCACGTTCAAGTTTAACTTTGGAATGATTGAGCCTCATCGAATCAAACTTGAACAGTTGAATTATTTTTTAAATCAAGTTGACGGGTAAGTTTGAACCTTGATTTTGAATACTTGGATGTCTACTGACTCAACTCAGTTACACCCTTACATGTACTATGGCTATCATTTTATTGAAGAAGTATTGGTTTTGTTTGTTGAAGTGATGATAAATCTCACATTGATTAGGTTTTGGTATGCAAGCAAGGAAGGAGTACAGGAACCATGAGAAGAGAAGTTTTAACTTGCCGCCAAGTACAGCCATTACGCTTGGATCATGCTTTATTGAAACCCATGTTTTATTAAAATTGTTGGAATCATGAGATTATTTATCCAACAAGACCGTTAAGAATGCCATTAGTGGGAAGGCATCAACTCCAAATATCTATTACAAATCTTGTCAATAGGATGTGAAACCTAAACAAATTACATAGAAAAGAAAGAATAAAAACGAAGAATGGAAGAAATTGATGTGTGTCTCTGTCTGTCTGTTTTGTACTAAGCTTTCTTCAGCGTCAATGCAAGCATATGCCAACAGAATTAAAACCGCGTCACATGGCTTCACATATTGACAAACCCCTCTAAACCTCAATCGAAGGAAGCACAAAGTAAGAGCTGCTCCACGCACAAATCCAAGAGTATAGGCACTCCCGCTGGCCACATTCACCATCTTAGCCATTCATAGCTTCGAGAGTTTAGTCCAATCATCATGCCACTTATTACTCAATTCATTTTCATAAAACAATCCCCATTAAAAGTAGCATACACCGAAGCTCTCTGGAGCCCATGCTTCATTCCTTAAGACATACATGCACTGCCTCGATAGCTGCAATTATATTCCATACAATACTAACACGTTGTGCAAAATTAAAATTATTGTGATTCCCTCCATAAATTTACCACTTCTATTCATGTAAACCCCATTTGTACATCCTTACCTTTCTGTTTTCATAAAGGGAAAAAAACAAGAGAAAAAAACCCAAAAAGAACTTACAAAAAAAAGAAAAGAAAAAAAAA